TCAAGAGGTATATATAATTATACATGCTGCCCAAATCCCAAATCATTTGCAATTATGGTATCCCAAATGTACAAAGTGAATTTGGGCCAGCCTGTCAAGGAATTCCTAAATCCCAAACTACTTTGTACACCCATGGCACTCTGTGTCCCAACCAATGAGTACCTAGAATTTGTGAAAGCAATCAGCAACCCTTTTGTTATATTATATGATTATTGGTTAGATAAGCAGGGCAGAAAGATTGATCTACATTTGGGATTTGTACATTTGGAATGTATAAGTAAGGACGTGGCATATATTTTAGGGGTAAGGTAACAGAAAATCTTAAGTCACACATAATCTCATAAATAACATTATCATTATGGCTTCAGTGAAAGATCTGCATTTTTATAATTTTGGATGCAAAATATTTTAATTTGGGAATGATCTACATGTAAGCCAATTGTCATTTACACAAAAAATTGTATAGTTGGCTTGGTCTAAAGACCTCCTAAATTTTGGGCAAATTTTTAAAGTATAGAAGTCACTTTCTGTCCTACCTTTTAAAAAGATAGCTCTATTAGTTGATAGAATATGTCTTTAGTTTTAATGTAATAGAGGGATTTTCTCAAAAAAATTATTTGTTGTGGAGTTCTATTCTTTTTTAAAACATGTACTTTACTATGCTCGCAAGGAAATTGTCCACTATGATCATTTCTAAATTTAGGAAAAATATTACCAAATTTAGACTAGCTCTTAACTATCGTATCTAAATTTGACAGTAAGAAAACTAAAATCATGTGAAGTCCTATTTTTTGAAAAATTTTATTACATTTTTTGAATGAATTACAAAATTGCTATTTTTGAAATTTGGCCGTATGGCGCAGCAATAGGAGGTCTTTAGACCAGTGTTGAAATTTCGTTGTGTAACCAGTACAAATTTAGAAACTATCTCCAAAAATTAAAAGGTTGATTGATGTGTAATGTTACACCCCGCATTCCCCACACCAAATTTTCAACACTGCTTTAGACCAAGCCAAACATACTATGCTCGTGAGGAATTTGTACACTATGTTCATTTTTAAATTTAGGAAAGATATTACCAAATTTAGACTAGCACTTGACTGTTGTATCTAAATTTGGCAGTAAGAAAACTAAAATTTATTTTTTGAAAATTTTATTACATTTTTGAACGAATTACAAAATTGCTATTTTGAAATTTGGCCGCATGGCGCAGCAATAGGAAGTTTTTAGACCAAATCAACCATATTACACTTTTTGTGTTACAGGATGATATGGCAATTAATATTTATTTTATTTATAAAATTCTCACTTCTCATATGCATAAATGTTATAATTGATCATTCTTTATCTGATATACATTTCCTTAAATATATTTTGTCAAAAAGAGGTCACTTTGGTTGTGATTGAGAAGAGAGAAAATCCTTGAGTTTTGTTCTTTAGATTTTCCTTTAGCAAGATGTATTGTTTGTAATTTTCAAATAAGTAAGAGTTACTACACTCAGAACCAAATAGGTTGTTTGGTCAAGAAATAGTCAATGCAAATTATACCCAGGAATTTCAAGAGATCATAATATATTATAAAGGAATTTTTTACTTCAATGTAATGTTGCTTTTAAAATGTTTGATTTTATAATTCTTTTTTTAGCTTGTGCTTTGTTGATACCTAAAAAAGGCAAATGATTGTCATACACGTGATCAAATTGTCTTACCTGGAGGTGGGGGGTAAGTGCTTCTATTAAAATGATATTAGCTAATATATGTCAGTGCCCTAATTTTGGATTTGGGATTCTTGATTTTTAATTTGGGCACATCAATAGCACAAATACACATGGCTTTTGACCAAGTTAGAATCATCATGTTCATGATGTAACAATAATAACATAATATATTCTTGTAACAAATAATATTGATAATAATAAACATAACCCTTTTATATTAAATAACCTGGCTGTTACTAATAAAACATTTATTAAAACTCTTGCTGTAAAGCAACCCTCATCTTTAATTAAATACTATCCTGCCTTTGAATGCCTTAGCTAGAATAGTTATATATAATCTATTTTATTATCTTAGGCTGTGTGCTGGAAATGCTTAGCATTAGCACTGCAGTAGGAATTGCACAAGAGTTGTGTGCCTGTGATACTAAGGTAATTGTATCAGATTTGGGCTGTGTGCAGAGATGGATAAACTTATTAATTTTTAGACATTTTTATATTTATTTTATCATATCTTTTATCAGACACATCTCAAGCTCACAATTGAAATTATACACTTGCAATATGCTTTCTAAAGTTATGTAGCCTCTTTTTATTTTATTTTTTTAAGGTTTTGGCACTTGGTTTTTGCCTTAGTTAATATGAAAATAAAAAAAAGCTCTCTGTATTCTTATTTAATGATAACTCTATATAACATCTATCCTTAATTTGAAGTCTATATGTCGTTTCCTTAAAAAGTTATCAGGGGTTGAAATTTATTTTTGCTATTTGAAAATGATCAGCAAAAAATCCCCAATAATGAAAATATAATATTGGGCCCCGAACAAAGTATGACATTTAAATCTTATTCCACTATTATGAATGTCAGTAAAATTATAAATAATCAGTTAATGCTTGCATGTGGGAATGGTTGATATTTGGATAAAAGTTCTAAAAATGCAACTAATTTGTTGTTGTTGTTTTGCGAGGATGATGTGAATTTGAGGGTTTGGAAGGGCGAGAAAAGTAAGGAAATAATAATTAATTGACCAATCATTTATTCAGTACCTTTCTGATTGGAAATATATTCTTTGTTGCCTCTTGTATTGTACTCTCTCATTATTCAATCCCTGTCTAATATATATTTTACAAGAGCTTTTGATGAAAAATTTTTTTATTGTATTTTCAAATATTTTCCTTTTCATGATTTTGTCAACTTCATTCTGAACATTTCTCTTTATCATGGTCAAGCTAAGGATGAAATTAAATTAATCAAACAAATCAAGACTTAAAAAAAGTACATTTAAAGTAATCAACAAAGTCTCTTTGAATCAAGGCTTCTTCTTCTTCATCTATTCTCTCAATGATTTTCATGGAAGATTGCAATAGGTTATCATGCAAGTAAATACTGTAAAAAACACAGACAGTTACTTTCTAGTTTATTTACCAAAATCTTTGAATAAGATGAAAAATGTAAATTGTAATTCTAAGTTTCCAGGCTAAATGGAGTAAGATAAGATGAGATCATATCCATGATGTCATTTGATTTATTAATTATTTATAATAAAACTAATCCATTTTTCATACAAAAAAAATTATATATATATGCATTTATCAGTTTTGCAAATACTTTGATAATATTAAAAAATAATACAAAATATGATATAAAAAGAAAGTGGTAAATGATTAAACTTTCTATTAAAAGTTTTGGTATATATTTGCAGCAAAATATCATGATTAAATGAATGTTTATTCATTTCATGATAATATTAAAATTAAAATAAATAATAAACAGCAAATATATAAATATAAATAGTTTTTTTAATTAATCATCATCATCATCATCATCAATTGATTTTGATTTTCCAAATCCATCAAAATAATCTTCCAAATAATGTTCATCAATGTCTTGAACAGAATTTAAAGCACCATTTCTTTTAATACAAAAAAAATTTTTTTGCAAAAAATTAAGTGAAAAATGACCCAAATTATCAATTAAATAAATATAAATAAAGCAGTTGTTGATAATATATTATTATTACCTAGTTAAAACATCTTCAACATTATCGACATCAAAGTTAGTTTCACCAATTTCATCAGTAACCTTCACCAAATTTACTATTAATCTACCATTTCTATAAACCAGTAAAGTTGGTAAACCAACTACATCAAAATCCAAATCATTTGCTAATATACGTAAAAACTTTGCCTTGACATATTTACGTGCTAAATTTGCTAGACAATCATTTAATAATCTACATTGTGGAATTGACTTATTAAAAAAACATTAATAAATGAATAAATTTTAATATTAAATAACTCCACAGATAAATAATAATGTATATACAATTTATTACTTACATTATCAAATATGTGCACAACTATACTAACATTTGAAGGTTCTTCATCTATAGCTTTAACATATTGATTTGAAGAAATTTCTTTCAAATTACCAAATCGTTTCCTCTCAATGTTACTACTATTACCATTATTATTATATAATTTATGAAACTGCTTTATTTTCATCTCCTTTAGTCTCATCTCTCTATATTTCTCTAATATTTTTTTTTCTTCTTCATTTGACTCAACATCTTCCAATTCTTTTAACAATTCTTCATCATTATTTTGTAAATTTAATAGTTTTTCATCTTCTTGATAAGATGTTGTTGTTATAGCTTTTGATAGCATTTTTTCATTGTATGCCTTTATTGATTCATTTTTTTGTTGATTCATTTGTTGTTTATGAAAGGCCTGATCTGCCAATACACCCTTTGGACCTGTTTGTGGTCCATAATGTCTCGTTGATTGAAGCTGTTGTTGTTGTTGTTGCAAAGGCTGAGAAGTGCTATTTTCTTCATCCTAGTAATTATTATTGTTATTATTATTTTCTAATGTAGTTTTAAGAAATAAAAAAATTAAAATCATTTTTACATCCGAAGTTTCTTCAACATCAGACTCGTTCGGTGTTCTTGTTGGTTCTTTTTCTTCGTCGTTAAAAGAATGATTTAATAATATACTTTCAACTAACGAATCCATTGTTTTTTGTTGTAATGTTAAAATTTGTATAAAAAAAAAAATATCCCAAAATTTTAAAAAATTTTCACTCGTGTAATAATTATGATGTCAATTATTTTGGATCTTGCAAGTTTTCCGAAAAATACACATTTCCAAATAAATGTAATAAGTTTTTTTAATTTAAAATCAAATTCACATGTATATATATTTATTTTATTTCTCCCTTCTCTTATTTATATTTTAATTAAATAAATTTTTTCAAATAGCGATAATTAAAAATCTTCCTTCAAAATGACTTCTAATAATTATATCAACTCTTATCAATTTACTAATGGCACCAATGGTGTAAATAAAGGAAATGTTCATGCTCAAACTACTCAAAATTCCACTCAAATCACTTCCTCATCTTCAACAGCAATAACTAATACTAATACCGTTTCAAAGTCCCAAAATAATGAACAAAATCAAACTCCCAATAGTGGTTTGACTCATACACCCTCTGTGAGAAAAAAAGGCATTAAAGACTTTGAGATTGGCAGAACTTTGGGCGAAGGTTCTTATTCAACTGTATGTAAAGAATTTTTATAAAAAAAAAAACAATATGTACTTGTTGTAACCAAATTTCTAATTATTTATTATCTTATAAAATGGAATTAACAAAATTAAAGGTGATGTTTGCAAGGGACCGTTCAACGGGACGAGAATATGCAATGAAAATACTTGATAAGAAACATATTATAAAAGAAAAAAAGGTTAAATATGTACATATTGAGAAAAATACATTGAATAGATTAAACCATCCTGGGATTATTCGTTTATATTACACATTTCAAGATAGTGACAATTTATGTATCCTTTGATTTTTTGCTTTGTGGAGAAAAAAAGATTATTCCAAATCAAATTTTTCCTTAATATTAATTCTTTTGAAAAAAGATTTTGTGCTGGATCATGCCAAGAATGGCGAATTATTAACCTTTATAAAAAAGGTTGGTGGATAATTATAAACTGATCAGTGTCAATCAAAAAAAAAAATAATATTATTATTATTAGTAGATTGATAATTAATAAATCGTTAATTATTTTCAAAAAATAATAGCTTGGATCATTTGATATTAATTGTACACAATATTATGCTGCACAAATCTTATCAGTCATAGAGTATATGCATAGTCAAGGTGTAATTCACAGGTGAGGACCCTTTTTATTGTTTAATCAATTTCTAAATAATAAATATTAATAACGTTTTTTTATTATTATTTGAAAAGGGATTTAAAACCAGAAAAGTAAGTAATCAATATCAATTGATGATTAATAATGTAATATTAATAAATATTATTATCATTTAAAAGCATATTATTAGATGAAAGAATGCATATTAAGGTTACTGATTTTGGAACTGCTAAATTATTAGAACAAAATGAACACGGACTAGAAGGTTAATTAAAAGTATTATAAATATTGATATATATATTATATAATATTATTATTGTAATTCAACAATAATGAAAAAACAATAATAGATGATCGAGCAAATTCATTTGTGGGCACAGCAGAATATGTAAGTCCTGAACTTTTAAAAGAAAAATCAGCTTGCAAAAGGTTTGAATTTTTTAATTTGGATGGCAACTTTACAATATTAGATTAATTAATTAATAGATAAATATGTGCATATATATCATGAAGGTTGTTCATATTTATATATTTATCAAAGATTTTATTGTTATTATGTTCAGTTCAGATTTTTGGGCACTTGGTTGTATCATATATCAATTGATTGCAGGTCGTCCTCCATTTAAAGGTTCAAATGAATATATGACTTTTCAAAAAATTGTCAATCTTGATTATTCTTTTCCTGAAGGATTTCCAATAATTGCAAAGGATCTAGTTCAAAAATTATTAGTATGGTTTATCAATGAATATCATATAATGTCATATATATTATATTTTCTGTATATCATATTTTCTTGATATTCATTGTTATTATTATTATTATTATTATTATAAGGTTATCAATCCAAGTGAACGTCTTGGACATGGTGGCAAAGAGGGAGTTATTAAACTAAAGTCACATCCTTTCTTTAAAGATGTATCATGGGACACTATATGGGAACAACCTGCACCAAAACTGCTGCCTTATTTACCTCCCAATCCAAAAGATAATGAAGCTGAATTAAGATCAACCAGTGCTTATTTAAGCTTGTCAATACAAAATAGTGATAATGGTGGTAGTCCTGTAGTCACAGGTCTTAAACAAAGTGATCCATTCAGATTAGAAAGTTTGGCAGATGGCGAAGACAATTCTGAAAAGGTTGATCCAGAAAAGGCCAAAAAACTAGAAGATCAAAAACGTACTTCTTCACAGTGGTAAAGACTAATTATATATTAATATATAATATATATATATATTAAATTTTTTTACTAACATCATGCATGTTTTATTTTATATTAGGCTTTCATTCCTTCTCAAATCTGAGCTAATCATTTATTCAGGCCAAATTAACAAACGAAAGGGCTTCTTTTCTAAAAAGCTTTTATTAATTCTAACTGATCTTCCTAGATTAATTTATGTTGATCAAGAGAGAATGGTACAAAAAGGTGAAATATATTGGAGTTCCAGAATGGTCGTTGAATTAAAAAGTAAAAAACATTTCTTTGTTCACACAGTATGTATTGTTATCAACAATTATTATTATTATATGTTTAAAATTTTTTTTTTGATAAATTCTTATTTTTCTTGTTTTATAATAATATAGCCACGAAAAACATATTATTTTGAAGATCCAAATGGGACGGCTGGTGAATGGGTCAATAAAATAAATCAATTATTGGTTGCAAACTATGGAGAAATGTTTTAAACATGAAAAATTTTGTGATTCATCATCAATTATTGTAATGTAAAAAATAAAAATAAAAATTTGTAAAGAAATAAAAAAAACATAACATAAATGACATAAATGGAGAGTTGTCACTTTAATATTTACACTACATGTAAATATTGCTTTTGGCAATTGCAATAATGTAATTAATACAAATAAATTAAATGTAGGCCTGATTTCATGTAATTATATTTTTACCACTGTTATCCAACACTATTATAAGCACCTCGATTGTTTACTATAATAATCAATTTTTTTCATATCATGTGCAACTTCAATAATTGAAATAAATAAACTAGTAGTTTTTGAAACAAATTCATTCTAGCAAATGGTCATGCAATATATGATCTATTATCAAGGGGTAAAGGATTAAAAGTGCCCTGTTGTAAATCACACATACTGTTGTAACTGATTAAAAATAATTTCATCTCTCACAAGAAGATGTATGGGTGAATGACCTACACATGTTTGTAATGGGGAATTTTAAGTACATTGTAACCAATTAATGCACAATCAACAACATTCTCCGGAGCCCATCATCTTTGCCAACTATAAATCTCCTTAGTATTAGTCTCCACTCAGCTTGTCTAATGTATATCATCACACCTATGCATATTTCTCATGGAATCGATACTTGTTATCCAGTAGCAATGGAAGGAATTGTGTTCCAACCAAACACCGACCGACCATTTATTATTCTCCTCCTCAAAAATATGTAAAGTACAACAGTCATGTCTCTTTTATATATCTCTCCAGTTTTTTAATAAGGTTTATAACCGAGTATAGAATATCAAGATTAATATATAAAAAAAGGAAAAGTTCAAATTTAGGATATAATAGTAATAATGGAGGATGGGAATATAAAAAAGTGGATATAAAAAAGGTGTGGATGTAGTTGAAACTGCCCCCACGTTTAATGTTGATCCTATTGATGGATTGACTTTACATCGAAGCCGTATATGAGCCTAGTGCTTTGGAAAGGTAAGTTTCAGAGAATGTTTACATTATTATACATGAACAAGTTGTATAGTAAATACTGACTTGTTCCTGGTATCATCCACCCTAGATAGTCTTCGTAGAGGAAATGGCAGAGTTTCTTTTAATAGGTGTAAAAAAAAAGATATCCCAGATGTTTCCTAATCGGAACTCATATTTTGAATTCAAAAATCAATAGTTTCCTATTGATTAACGAGTTCATGATATCAAATTCTGTTGATTCATTTGTATTACTTTGGTCAATTTATTTCTTCGATTATTATAGTATCATTTAAATTGATATTTCATATTCATCATTTTCATCTTCAAAACCTTTTCATATATTTATGCAACCTAAAAAACAATTTAAGAGCCTATTTTCTTGAACTTGAAAATTTAAGTTTTAACTCAATCCAGCTCAACTTGGAGTTCTATTCGAATAAGGCTCATTTGAATTATTGTTTTATTCGCGAGCATTTGAATAAAACGAATAAAACGAATGATTCTAGTTGTATTGCGAATAAGAATTTGTATACATTATAGAAACTCAATAAAAATAAACGTTTTTTCATTTCGTTTTAATTTTCCACAAATATCTGAGCCAAATTTTATAAATTTTATACAGTCAAACCTCGTTTCAACGAATTATAATCAAATTTGCATTACAACGATTTTTGAAAACATAAAATTCGTTGAAGCGTGATTGGTAATTTTGGTATGACGGATTTAAACAGATTCGTTGAAACGAGGCTTAACAATATATTTCAGAACCTAAAAAACATTTTTTAGTAGAAGCACAAATATTGTTAAAACACGGAATCTTGAATTGTTTTCATTTGAAATTTTTAGTCTCATAAAATTATTAATGAAAATTCAATTGTTTTCAATAGTCTGCAAAATCGGGATTTTTTATAAAGAAAAATCAAATTTCGCGCTGGATCGAACTCGAATATTCGAGTTCAAGCAAGTATAAACTCGTCTTAGTTTTAACTAAAGCTAATCATAGCAAAATAGGCTTACTGTCAACCTTTTTTCTTTTGTTGCATACTGGATGAAATTCAGTGTGTGGAATGTACGATGTTAACCAAGTTGGTAATTATCGGTAGATTTGGGAAAATAATAATAATTCGCAAATTTGGTTAACACTGCACATTCCGCGTACTGAATTTTATACACTGGTGATTGATTGGAAAAATGGATCTTTTCACTCAGAATTATTAATTATAGGGTTAAGACTTCCCATCATTAATTCAGTCAGGGATATTCCCATATCGGGATTCGTTTCCAGAATAGTCTGCGGATCAATTCATTATATATTACAAATGAATTCACAAAATACTTCTTGTTATATCTACGTTACATTTTCTAAAAATAAATCGGTTTATAATAATTGAAAGAAATACTATTAAACTTGCTCTTTCATAATCTGTTGATTTGTTCAAAGTACGTTTTTACTAAAATTAGAAATTTATGACTAGAATTTAATTTTTATTGGTTTTTAGACCATTACGTTTGTATTGTTTGCATGAAGATATTGCAAACAAATATCCAGAAAGCCAGCTGATGCCATGTTGGTGCAAATCTTATTATTAAGTATATTCAGAATCACCATTACTATATTTATTCATGTAAATTAATTTGTTAATAACAATATACTTTTATTTAGGCTTTATTATTTATTTATTTAAAGGTAGTTTAAGGATACTGACTGCAACTTTAATGATGGTTGTAACCACCTTTACATCATATACAAATGATTGCAACACCTAGTCGTAACTGCCTTTGCAACAACTTTGTTGGATTTCAGCATGGAGCACTAAAGTAGTTCGGTATGGAAATGTAAGCATAAAACTCCAAATAAATTATTTTGTATTATTTACAATGGTGGCTATTGATTTCAATATATTACAGTCAGGATTATTACCAAATATGGAATTTCCAAATACTGTAAGGATAGACAATCTAGAAATCTTTTATATAGAAAAAAAACAAAACAAAATGATTGGCTAATTTTATGCAGATCTTTTCTTTGAAAAAAGTTGATATATAAATAAAATAAATTAAAAATAATGCTTTTTTATGAAGAAAACGTGGCAAAGGCTTTATTAAATGGTCATATAACCTCCAAAATTTTATGTATCACGTTTATTTTTAACTGCTTTACAAATCAATCAAAAAATAATCAATAGCTTCAAATTATAATCATAAAATTACCATAAAAACACAATAACTTTTTTCATAATACTGATGAAATGTTTGAGTTATCAACCTGTTATTCATTCTTATTCGTCAGGAATCTTGTTATTAAAATTAATAAAATTAATAAATAGTATCATGAAATATATTATAGTTATAAATTAATTTGTAAGCTTTTTGGTATAAATAAAGTCTATGCTAAATTTTGTATATATATATATATTGGGCGCCTTCAAAAATTATTAGATTGAGATTGATTTCGATCTGAGATTGAGATTGTGATCGAATTTTAATATGAAATTTCAATCTAGGTCAGGTAGTAAGATTGAAAAAATAAACAAACAAAATAATAAAAAAAAATTTTTTAAAAAAAAAATGGAAAATATTGAAGTACCCAAAAAACAAAGACATCAATACTAAAATCATTAGCATTGGTATTTGTAGGTTCAAGGTCCAATTCATTTCTTTGATGATTGATAAAAGAGAAAAGAGACGTAAAAATTCCATTTTTAATTATAATTGTCAATCATCTTTGATAAAATAATTTTTGATCATGGATTGAAAATTTCCAATCAAATATTCAATCTCAATCTCAATATAATAATTTTTGAAGGCACCCATTATATTACTTCTTTACCTGCTTATAATTAATTCACTATTATAATTGTTTTCATCATCACTTGTAAATAATTCTAATATGATTGGAACTATAAAAATATGAATAAATTATTGAGAATTTGTTACATCATTTAATTTTGTAAAAGCACTTTGAATAAAATATTTAACAAATAGTTTCAAATGATCTTTACTTTATTCCCTATTGCATTTTACATATTTATCTCAAATGATTCTCTGAATATTTCTCAGTGCAGCAAGTGCAATTGATCTTGACGTTTTGCCACTAAAGTTCAAAGAGAAAAAAAAAAACTTAAAATTTAAACTCCCAGCACTTAAATTTCTTTAAATTTATGTAAAGGCTTACTTTGAACAAATTAATAGGTTTTTGTAGATTTTTAGTAGATTATGAAAAGGCAAGTTCAATATTGTTTATTTTGATTATTATTATTATAATTAAAAAAAAAAAAGATTTTCAAAAGGCAGCAAAATATCACATTAACTCGTTCGTCACACATATGAATTGATCAACAAAGGAGTTCCAATTTTTCTAGATTCGATTTCCAAATTTGGTAATAATCCTGACTGTATTAATCATTATTTATTTTTACTATATGGATTTTGTATGTATCCTTTATTTATTATTTAACAGAATTGGCAAGGAAATTTATATAGTATTATTTCAATTTATATTTTTAAAGATTAA